TTATGCGATCTCTTTGGATAAGGATGATGTTACATGTACATCACATTGTACATAAGGGTGTTCATCCAACGTCTCGGCATTGGTCGAGGTGCCGAATGTCCATTATGAAGACCCTTATGTACAATGTAATATACAACAAGATTAATCCTTTGAATAATAACATGTGAAGTTGGATAATGCAACTAAAAATAATAAACTATGCAACATTAATGATGTTTATAATCGATTTATGCGATCGTAAAATTACTTTTACATTATTCAATAAAGTGAAGTCGTCGTCATAAAAATCGGTACTAACATCACCAATATTATATTGCATTACTATGCAATTAAAATAAAAAATTATTACCTACTCTTACCTAGAAAGATCTATATAATTATCAGAACTATGATCGAACTTCAAACCAAGCAACCACAAGTGGGATTGAAGTGTCGAACTTTTTCTTTTTGTTCATTGGGAGTCGGGTGGGGCCGCTTGATTATTTTATCAAAGTAAATATAAAAACGTGTTAATAATTATTCTTGACGTCACACAAACTTTGCCAAACATTCGGTAATCTAATAATTTATAAATTTGTACGTTCCCTCCACCAGTGAATTACCTAAAAAATTATTAATCACCTGAACTATAGTCTTAACCAATTTTTGTTTGGTAGCTAAATAAAGATGTTAGTGGCTGCCTGCCAACTTTTAATTTATGACCAAGTAACTTTATTTTTGACTCTGGACAATTATGGAATACAGAGAAGGGACAGAGTTAGAGATGAACTAAAAATATCTTTTAGGCTGAATTAATATTTAAAAAAATTTATACATAAAAAATATTTTATAAAGAAAAATAGTAATTGGGCTAATCCGCCCCTGATACATACATAGTAAAGATATTTAATCGATAATTAATTTGTTGACCGGAGTCGAGCACTCACAATTGGATGGTCAAATTAATGTAAAGCACTATAATCTTCAAAAAAGAATAATGATGGTTGAACAGGGAAAGTGTGGACGAAATCGATAATTAATTTGTTGACGGGAGTCAAGCACTCACAATTGGATGGTCAAATTAATGTAAGGCACTATAATCTTCAAAAAAGAACAGTGATTATTGAACAGGGAAAGTGTGGACGAATTGACCGTTCATTCATGCTTCGACACGTGTCCCCATGATTTTTCATCATGTTCTTGACCTTGTTTTTGTAGCATTTCTCTTAAAAAGTTCCCTGTTACTTACCTCGATAAAAAGTTTGAGATCGTTGATATACAGTTCGCTGCACTATTTTATTGAAAACAAAAAAAATGTATAACTTAAAAAAAGGTTGAACCCCAACCTTAAGGGCCCCCACCGACCCTGCCCTGAGCCATCGTGGAGGAGGTAAATCGCAGGATGTGCCTCCCAGGAGCCAGGGTGGAGAGCACATGGATAGGCCAAGGCTGTTAACCCATATGGTAACTCCCGCTTGCAACAAAGCCAATTCCACCTTGCGGGGAATCGAACTCTGCACACTGTCGCGCTGAGCCCTATCCGCCCTCCCCTTTGCCACTGGGAGATATGCCCTGGGGGCAAAAAATGTATAACTTATTTTCACAGGAAGAAGTCACCTTATAGAAAAATGAAAAAGAAAATGAACCTAGAAATTATTTTATTATTCGGGGTGATTATATAGCCATCACATTTTTTTTGGGTTCGGCTAATTTTTAATTGCACAAAAGGTTAATAACTTTTGTTCTTAGTTACACTTATATTCTCCATCTTTTTTTAATACATTATTATCTTCAACATTTCATTAATTAAAACTTCTTTATGTCATCAATGATACTTTTTGTCTAAAAAATACATTATTTTTTTTCTTGTTTGTAACTATTAAGTCCAACTTAGCAAGTATGTATGTTTTTAATTATATAATAGAGATGCTTTTGTCTGAAAAAAAGGAAAAAAATAAAAAAATTTAAATTGAGAAGTGTGTTTTCCTTTCCCTCTTCGTACAATTGGGCTGGATTAATCTTGACATTGGATCAGTCATCTAAATTACATGCATCCATGGTTAGCAACAAAATATAGGTAGTAAAGTTATGGTTCTTTACATATATAACCAACTTGTTTAATCTCATCTACAATTTACGAGATATTTATTTATTTTTTTTAAAAATCTAATGTTACATAAATCTTATTTAAAAAAAAATTATCGACCGAGTAGCCTTCCAAAATCTTATTATTATTATTTTTTTAAATTGAATTAACAATGAGCTACATTAGGCTGAATGTAGACATGAACAACCTATATGTCACAACAAGATTTCACAATTTAGGTTAACAAATCAAATTAAGGCTTGATTTGATATTGTTGTACTTTTAATAGAATTTACTTTTGTTGTGTTGGAAAATGAATTAGCTGAGAGAAGAATAACTATTGTTTTACTTTTCAAAATTAATATTTTTGCATTTGATAAAGAAAAGTGATTTTTTGTTGTGCGTGTATACAATTATTAAAATGAATATTAATTAATGATGTCCTTTTGTATTTACTATCATTAAAAGTATTATAAAGTTTATTTTCACTTTTATAATAATAAAATATAAGTAATATTATCGAATATTTTTTTCTAAGACAATGTGTTCGTTACAATTATTTTAAAATTAAAATAGAATATTTGTTAAATCTTAAATTCTAAATTACAAAATAAAAGCATATTTAATACATTAGTAATATTTTAAAACAAAAATAAATTACCTTTAATGCATTAGACTCAGATTTGATTTTATCAATTTTATTTTTTGAATATCAATAAATATTGCTAGTAAAGGAATTCATGTAATTTAAAAGGGTTGAAATTTAAATTTTTATTATGATTAATTGGTGAAGCTAAAAGCGGAATCTCGGAAAAGATAAGGGTGTATTTGATTTGTTGTTTTCAGTTTTGTAAAACATTGAAAATTCTTCGATATGATATTTTTAAAAATGCATTTTCGAAAACAAGATTAAACTTGTAACAGAAAACTCAAAACATATTTTAGATGTTTTAAATAGTTTAAGTGAAAAATTTTGAAAAATGCATTTTCAAAAACAAGATAAAACTTATAACTTAAAACTCAAAACATATTTTTGACGTTTTAAATATTTCCAGTGAAAACTAAAATAAGCGTCTAATAAAACAGCGTCGAGGATCATGTACTAGGGTGTATGTGCGACTTGTTCATATCATGAGCTGGCACAACAAAAAAAAAAAAAAGCAAGAAAACTACTTTTCCAGTATCAATGATCAGTACTAGTTAATAAGATAGAATGGAAGAAAGAACCCCGTTCACTATCTAAAAATAAACAAATCGATCCCTCTATTGTGTATGAAGTTTATGGTTTCCATGGGTACAAATCCAATCACCTGAATTTAAGATGAGAAGCAATTCTCCATTGGTAATAAATGGTTATCTATTAAGCGGAGGAAATCTTATTTCAATTTCAAAAACATAAAAATGAAGCTCCCATTCTTTCAACAACGGACTAAGAGGGTTAGCTACCCGGCTAACTTTCTTAATTAAATACCGTTACTATATATGTGGATCTCATTGTGAAAGATCTATTACTGGATAAATCATTGGTAGAGTCAAAGAGTGTGGTATGAACTATACAAGTTACCAATAACATTGATTAAATGAAGTAAAGACTCCGATGTATAGAGAAGACCTCATCGTTTAAGAAGTAACTATAGAAGCGACAAAACCCACTATTCTTTATCCATTTAATTTATATTTCTTTTTACTATATTTTCACACTTAGAAGAATAAAATTTCTTATTTCTTTCGTATTTCGCAGTGAAATACCTAAAAAAAATGAAAAAATCATGGTCGGGAAGGTTATAGCAGCCCAAGCCATTGGATTTTTTTTTTATACATTGACAAAATCCGTTTTGTATATATATATATATAAGAACGCTGATAAAATTGTCGAGTTAAAGGGGTGATGTTAAAATCTAGAAAACCACTTGAGGTCAAATAATTGCTTACCAATCCTAGCTGAAATTCTAAAAGGATGTCGATTTATGACAAGACAAGTCGGTCAATTAACTATATCTTGAAGACCTTCGCTATTTATTCAAGTTATATAGTAACTGATGACCCTAGATCTTGTAGTCCCGAACTCGACCCATTGACCCCGACCTTGATATCACCCCAAAGGGCCCAAATTACCAAATAAAGGTCGGACGTTTTGAGGTCGGGGTAGGGCAACTCGCCACGCACTTCTTAACGACCTATGAGTGCACTAATTCTACTTAAGCCACAATCCTTACCCTGTTAGACTCCTTCTTCGACTCAAACAATGTTTGAACACTTGGAATAAAACACTAACTCTTTATCCTACGAGGATAATGACCGCAAAAGGATAAGTCCTTCTAGGATTCCATCATTAACACATATAAATACACAACCCGTGCTCATTCTTGAGGTACATTTTTCATTATTTTCAGTTTATAACCTCACGCACTAAATTCTCTATCTGACTTAAGCATCGGAGGGGCGATGAGCACACACCTCATTGTGTTTGTTGTAGGTATTCGAAGGCCGTTCGTGTTCATCAAAGTTCGGAGTTCAATCATCGAGTTCGACATCTTTCAGGTACTATTTTTTGGTAGCATCATTAGCACAGTCTGTGGGAAACGCTACCAAAAGCCATGGTCAATACAAGTTCAGGTTTTTCTCCAGCAAGCTCATCCATCCTGAATAACCCTCCTCCTCGTGAGGAATGCCATATCCCTCAAGAAGAATCGTCAGAGATGCCAGCACCTCCTCAAGCTGTTGTTTTCGTCGGAGCTTTTGAGGAACTTCGTCAGCAGGTGGCTGCATTAACCTAAATGTTATTCCAGAGAAATTCGCACCCATCGCATACCCCAACCCCTGAAGGTGGCTTTATGGCAGACGCCCGGGCTCGAGTCCTTCGACAGCCCATGATGACGGTGGGGTTGGAACTTCAGGCGCACCACAAGTGGCTTCAGGTTCAAGGTCCGTTACAATGGACTCTGCTGAACTTGCTAGAATCATTCAAGAAGGGATAGCAGCGGGTATGCAACAAAATACTTAGGTAGCAACAGGGTTCACCCCCAATACGTCATTCACTCCAGAAGTCCTCTTGCATCCCCTCCCCGATAGGTTCAAGTATCCTCGAATAAAGGAGTATGATGGGACAATCGACCCCATCAATCATCTGAATGTGTACATGGATATCATGAACTTACAGGTTGCACCTGATGCAGTACTGTGCAAGGCATTCCCCCAGACCCTCACAAACGCAGCTAAAGATTGGTTTTTCACATTGGAACCGAACTCTATCGCATCCTTCTCAGATTTGGCCGATAAGTTCTCCACTTTCTTTGCGAGCAGCAAGCGAATTAGAATGATAGCTGCATCACTCATGCAGATGCGTCAAGGACCCAACGAAACACTGTGCAGTTTCATAACCAGATTCAATAAAGAAAGGCTTCAGATCCTCGATCTACATATCACTACTGCAGTCTCGGCCCTGACATATGCCATTAAGTACAAAGCATTCAAGATGTCCTTGTCTAAGACCCCTCCGAAGTCAGTCACCGAGCTACTTACACAAGCTGAGAAGTACATCAATATGGAGGAAACCATAGCCCCAAAAAGAGAAGTTTCGTCATCAGGAAGGTTGGATCATAAAAGGCCGCATGAGTCCAGTCTGAGACAAGATATACCTAGGGTCAAGCAAAGGAAGGACCCACCGTCAACATCTTTTACCCATTTGAACACCTCAAGATCCAACATCCTGATGGAAATCAAGGACTCGAGGAACTAAAGTGGCCTCCCATATTGCGTTCTCCCCTCGAAACTTGTGACAAGAGTACGGTCTCCCCCCGATACTCGTGACAAGAGTACGTACTGTGATTTCCATAGAGATCACGGGCATATAACGGAAGATTGTTTGGCCTTAAAACGGAAAATTGAAGCTCTTATAAAAAGGGGATTTTTGGGCTCTTACATTAGCAATGACAAGTGCCCGACGAATAATCAGAACGGAGGAAAAGGCTCAAAGGGTCGGGGAAACAAGCAACCAATTGCAGGTACTATCAATATCATTGTCGGAGGAACAGCCTCGAGAGGAGATTCTAGCAGCGGGCATAAATAGTATGCCACGTAGCCTCCAATCATCTCAAGACCAAATTTTGGCCATACAGTAGACATCACTTTTGGAACGGAGGACTTGGAAGGCATAGCATTCCCTCATGATGATATCTGGTCATATCGGCCATCATCGCCAACTTTGAAGTCAAGAGAGGTCTGGTAGATAACGGAAGCGCAGCAAACGTACTGTCTTATGAAACCTTCGTTCAGACGGGGATCTCATCATAGCAGCTCAAGCCAGTCAAAACACCCCTCCAAGGATTTGGAGGTGGGGTCATCACCCCGGAAGGAATCGTCGGGTTGCCTTTAACATTGGGGGTAGAGGGTAAACAGGTGACGCAAATCACTACCTTTGAAGTTGTTCGTACGCCGATGGCTTACAACGCCATGCTGGGAAGATCACTGCTCAACAGAATTCGAGCTATTGTCTCAACTTTCCACTTGGCTATGAAATTCCCAACTACCAATGGAATCGGGGTAGTCCGAGGTAACCAAACAGTGGCCCGACAGTGTTATGTGACTAGAGTTCGAAAAATCAAGAACGTCATGCAAGTTATAGAGCTCGAGCATGAAAATCACGGGAGACTGGCTCCGGTGGAAGGATTGGAAGAGGTCGAGATCGAGCCTCGAAGGAAAGTAACAATTGGTCGGGGGCTAGATACAGCGGTCATGTTTGAACTGCTAAGTTATCTCTCCCGCAACCTTGATGTATTCGCTTGGAATGTTGAGGACATGCCTGGAATTGATCCAGAGGTTGCAGTACATAGACTTAACGTAAATCCGGAAGCAAGATTTGTGAAGCAAAGGAAGAGACAGTTTGCACTCGAAAGACGAGAAGTCATAAAGGATGAGATTGCTAAACTCGTTAGCGCACAATTCATTCGAGAAGTACAATATCCCGAGTGGCTTGCCAACGTGGTTCTTGTCAAGAAAGCTAATGAAAAGTGGTGAGTTTGCATTGACTTCACAGATCTGAATAGAGCATGTCCTAAAGACAGTTATCCCCTACCTCGAATTGACAATCTGGTAGATAGCATGTCAGCTCATATGTTGTACAGCTTCTTGGATGCTTTCTCGAGGTATCACCAAATTCTGATGGCGAAAGAAGATCAAGAGAAGACCTCAGTCATGGCAGATTCAGCCATCTATTGCTACAGGGTCATGCCCTTTGGACTGAAAAATGCTGAAGCATCATATCAAAGGTTGGTGAACAAGATCTTCACCAAGTTAATTGGGAAAACGGTCAAAGCATATGTGGATGATATGGTGGTTAAGAGTAAACAGCTGGATAGTCATGTTTCTGATCTAGAGGAAGTGTTTGCTACGTTACGGAGGTACAACATGAAGCTCAATCCGGCAAAGTGTGCGTTTGGGGTGGCATCTAGAAAATTATTGGGTTTTATGATTATACACAGAGGAATAGAGACAAATCCTGATAAAATCCAAGCTCTGATAAGTATGGAGGCTCCTAAGTGCAAAAGGGACATTCAGAAGTTGACAGGTTGCGTAGCAGCATTGAACAAGTTTGTTTCCCGGGCAGTGGACAGGTGTTTCCCCTTTTTCAAACTACTTAGGAGAAATAGAGGGTTCGACTGGAATGAAGAATGCAACTTAGCTTTTCAAGAGCTCAAATAGACACTAGCAACACCTCCAGTTCTTACCAAACCTGAACCCGGTGACATGTTGTTATTATACTTGGCCATTTCCCAGAATGCAGTAACCGGAGTCTTGGTAAAGGAGAAGGAAAGAGTTCAGCAGCCTGTCTATTATGTAAGTAAAGTACTCCTTGATGCAAAAACACGGTACACATTTGCAGAATAGCTGGCCCTTGCTCTGGTAGTAGCTGCCAGGAAGTTGTGACCTTATTTTCAGTCGCATCCAATCGTGGTACTCACCAACCAATCTCTTAGACACATACTCCAAAAGCCAGACGTCTCAGGAAGACTATTGAGATGGGCAATTGAACTCGGCAAATTCGACATAGAGTTCAAACCGCGATACGCAATCAAGGCTTAAGCTTTGGCTGATTTCATAGTAGAGCTCACTTGAGGACCCCGGAACGGAAACACAGGTTAATGACCCGAGCAAGGCCTTGAAAATATGGGAGATCTTCGTAGATGGAGCATCCAATAGCTCAGGCTCGGGGGTCGGCATCATCATCACCAACCCAGATAAGGCTACAGAGATATAATGGGCGCTCAGATTTGAATTTGAAGTCACTAACAACGAAGCAGGGTATGAAGCCATTATCATAGACCTAGAAATTGCAAATGGTCTCGAGTTGGAGCATGTCAAAGGTTTTAGTGACTCACAGCTAGTGGTCGGGCAAATCGAGGGGTCTTTGAAAGAAAAGACGAGAAGATGAGCTTATACTGTCTAAAAGTGCATAATCTTCAGAGGCAGTTCATAAGTTGCGAAATCCTGAAGGTGGCTAGAGCTGATAACGTCAAAGCTGATGCATTATCCAGACTTGTCTTTATGGGCATGGACATGTCAAGGTAGTTGTAGAACCCAGCATAGCTTAAAAGCCAAGCGTCATGGACATCGATCACGAGCCCTCCTGGATCGACCCAATAGTTGATTACATCAGTAATGGCAACCTACATGTGGACCCTCGACTTGCTAGAAGCATTCGGTATAGACCGCAGAAGTTTTACACTCCCTTATCTAAGATGTTTCAAGCCGTCCGAGTCCCTGCAAGCCCTGACTGAAGTTCATGAAGGCATTTGCGGAAATCATCAAGGATCTCGAGCTCTTGCATATAAGTTAATAAGGTATGGGTACTACTGGCCAAGTTTGAAGAAAGACGCCGCGGAGTACGTTCGGAAGTGCGACAAATGCCAGAAGTTTGGCAACACCATACATGCTCCTGCAGAGGAGCTAACTTTCATTCATTACTCAGCTCTCTTCGAGCAATGGGGAGTCGATATTCTTGGGCCATTCCTCTTGGCCCGAGGACAATTAAAGTTTGTAGCTGTGCCGGTGGAGTATTTCACAAAATGGGTGGAGGCTGAACCATTGGCGACAATTTCAGAGCCAAAACTCCGATCATTCATATGGAAGTCCATCATATGCAGGTTTGGAATACCGAAAGTCCTCATTACAGATAACGAAAGATAATTTGACAATCCACAGTTCAAGAGCTTCTGCGCTACTCATGGGATTGATCATCGCTTGACCTCGGTATCACGTCCACAAAGTAATGGGCTTGCCGAAGTAACTAATTGGATCATACTACATGACCTTCAAATAAGATTAGGGGATGCCAAAGGTGACTGACTTGATGAACTGCCCTCTATACTATGGGCATACAGGACTTCGTACAAAATAGAAACTGGTGAGACGCCTTTCATGCTTGCCTTTGGAATTGAGGCTACCATTCCTATCGAGATCAGCCTCCCTACAATAAGAAAGCTCGAGATGAATATGGAGAGACATACTGAGCACCTTGACTTGCTTGAAGAACTAAGAGAACAAGCTTCACTTAGAGCTGCGAGTTATCAGAATAGAACTGTGAAACACTTCAACAACAAGGTCCAGACGAGAAGGTTTAGAGCTGGTGATCTTGTCCTGAGAAAAGCAGAAGCTGCCGGTCACCGACCAGGGAAGCTCGAACCAACATGGGAAAGACCTTTCGAGGTCATACGAAAACTAAAAGCTGGAGCCTACAACCTCAGAGACACATCGGGGAAGCTGCTCCCAAGGCCATGGAACGCCGATAACCTGAAAATTTATTACAAGTAACTAGCTATAGCTATAGTTTTTTTTCTTTTAAGGCTTGCATGCCCACTTTATATTTGTTTTATTTCGTTTTTATTTTTTGAGCTACAATGCCCTAACAACTCACTTTTCAATAAGCTCGGGTATCAACGCCCTTGAGCCCTCTTAGTGATACACGAAGTTTTCTTTATGATATTGCTCCCCTATTAACAAAATCAGTGTAAGGCCGTGCCTCACGCCTACAACTAATACTTTAACAAAATTAGCATAAGGTCGTGCCCCACGCATGCAGCTAATACTTTAACAAAGTTAGCATAAGTCCGTGCCCCGCCCCCGCGCATGCAGCTAATACTTTAACAAAGTTAGCATAAGGTCGTGCCCCACGCATGCAGCTAATATTTTTAAATAAAATTAGCATAAGACCGTGCCCCATACATGCAGCTAATACTTTAATAAAATTAGCATGAGGCCGTGCCCCGCGCATGCAGCTAATACTTTAACAAAGTTAACATAAGACCGTGCACCACGCATGCAGCTAACACTTTAATAAAATTAGCATAAGGACGTGCCCTACGCATACAGCTAACGCTTAACCAAGTGAGCATAAAGTTGTGCTCTATACATGCAACTAACACTCGACCAATAGAACCAAACACACGACATCAAATAACAGCAGGTCAGGCATAACAGGCCCGACCTATTCGATCCCAAAATATCCTCACTATAAGGAATTTTGAGATCGAGATCGGGCATGAAATAAGTTTACACCACGTAACCATGCCCGATCTTATCCTTTAAAACATCAGCGACCCAATGATCGTCCCTCGATATAACAAATTGAAAAATCAATACTAAACATCTTTGAACTTAGAAACAGAAGCCCAATTTTTAAGGTAAAATGATCGATCTGTCCATAAGCTTCAACGACCATTATTGTTAGGACAGACTATATCCTCGAACTCTTACACACACGGTTGAGCTATGTATGAGCTAATTGATTGCGACATGTGATCTACACTAACGACCGAACTCTTAACCGTTATAACAGCTTGAATTCCAAATTATAATGTTCGCACACGAACACAAAATCAACGCACGATCTCATAGCAGAAATAAAATGCATGAACTGATAAGAAAAAGCCTCTCAAAGATGGAAGCCCAGTTCGGTCAATAAACTTTGCATTTAGACGAGTTCATAAGAAGTTCATAAGCCCAAAACGGGCAAAATACATGAGCAAAAAAGAAAAGTTACAATAATATCTATCTTGGGGTCGGGGAAGGGGCCTAATCTAGATCGATGGGGTTGTTCCCGCCTCTATTGTTAGGGGTCCCAGCATCGTCGTCATCATCATCCCCATCACCCTCAGAAGAAGAAAGCTCGAGGTCCTTTGCGAGCTCATTCACAGTCTTTAGCTCATCAACCAAGGGTTTCAAATCCTCGGACAGCTTGGTCCTGAGGAATGAACGAGCTAGCCGCAATCCATAGTAATACGAGCCAGACCCGTACTGGCCCAGGAGAGTCTTGAACTTATCGAACTTCTTGAACTCATCGACGGCTTGAGTTCGGGCCTTTGCTCGAGCATTCGCAATCTTTTCCTCAAAAGAGCTTTGGGACTGAATGAGCTCGAGCTTTGCCTCCTCGACTTCATCCCTTGCAAACCCGACCTCGTCCTTGGCCGTCTTAAGGTCCGTCTTGGCCGCTTCCAGGGTCCTTTCAAGCTCCTGGGCCCTCTTAAACGTAACCTCGCTCTTAGCCTCGAGCTTGGCTATATGATCTGAGGAGTTCAAGCCCTTAAGCCCCAGACCCCGAGCTACACTTAGTGTCCACAAAAATAAGTATGGAACCCGACATTAGTACGAATGCAGAAACCTATCGAGGGTAACAAAAGCATTCATATTAAAGGTAAACCTTCATAAGGAGCTCAAGAATTCGAGCCCCTTCATTCATATCGACCTCCTTCTCATACTTGTCAACTATGTCCTGGATAAGAGCACAGTCAGCGTATTCCTCGAGCGACTTGGTGGGCATAGGGTCGTCGTCATCAACTAGGAGGTTCGACCCATAATAAGGAGTACGAACCTGAGCTTGCTATTGGGGGGCTGGCTGCCGTGGAGGGGTCGGGTTTTGTGAGCTCTGCCCCAGGTCCACCAAAGTTGGACGGGCGGCCTCCTGTGCCCATTTTTTCTCCTTGGACGGAGTAGTCGTCGGGGCTTTGGACTTCGGGCCCTTTGCTTTTTGACGTACATTGTCCAAGAGTGCGGACGGATCGAAAGACATCTCAAATTCTGCAAGCAGAAATGACAAAGACATTAGCTCGAACTATAGATCGATGCTTACACATGAAATGACAAAGATTACATAAAAAGAAAGATCGTACCTCGAGGCCTTTTACATTGGCAAGGTCGAGGGTGTCATCCTCGAGAAGATTGTCGATCTTCTCCGCCAAAGGATCGCGATTCACTAACCTCAGCCTATCTTTCTCTAAAACCTCGAAATAGGCCTGACCTCTGTTGAACCTATCCTTATCAGGGATTTCCCACTTCAGGCTAAAAGGATGGTCTGGGTCTTGAGGCTTCACAAAAAAGAATCTTTCCTTTCAAGCTCGAAGTGAGCTCAGTGTTTCAGGCGTTCTAAACCCCCTCGTGGTTGATACGTAAACAAAACAATTGTACGCCGGGGAGAATTTCATATCATAGACCATTCGTAAGAGATCGAGTCTAGGCTCGATCTCGAGACACCTACATAATATAAAGAACTATACTAGCAACCTCCAACCGTTCGGGGCTAGTTGGCCAGGGCATAAATAGTACGAGGTTAGGAAATGGATGAAGAATGGGTGAAGGGGCCACCTAAGCCCGACCTTAAGAGCGTCTCTAAAAAACGTGATCTTTTTCCTCTCGAGCTCCTAACACGG